GCGAGAAAATTCCAAACTCTCACATCACCGATCCACAATCCCACTTGTGTTCCATCAAAAGTCTTCAATTCTCACCTTATTTTACAATACAAACAAACCTGATTTCCACCATGTTATCAAAAGTCTTCTTCACCAGTCAAAATAAATGTGATCTTTTAATATAATTTTTTTCCTAATTTCTTAGATAATTTTCTTAATACGAGTATTGTTAAGCTTAATGATCAATCAATCAATCATTCTTATGTGTTATTTATGTCTCTTATATATTTTTTAATTATCAATCAATTATGTTATTTACACATCATTGAGTTTAGAAAGTAAATTTAAAAAATTAAATTTTATATATCATTTTTCCTTTTAATATTGTTTAGGATTCAGGGTTGAGAGAATCCAATTTTATTCGTGTGGAACTATAATATTATTAGGCCTTGTTTGGCATGTGTCTATTTTAGCCTAAAAACTAAAAAGTTATTAAAAAAAATCAAAAAGTCTATAATCTATACCAAAAAGTCAAAGATTCTTTTTTCTCTCTACTATTTACTCATCTTTTCGTAAAAAAAAAAATAAAAAATCATTCCAAACATACTAGTTTTTTTTTACCTCATATTTTAGTCAAAAAATTAAAAAGTTACTAAAATAATCTATTCTCAAACGAGACCTAAGTAATAAAACCAATAAATTGTAAGTTGAAATTTCAGTTAATTGGGACCCACTGTCTCAATAACACTAGTTTCGAGGTTCTCAAATTTCATTTAGGGGTGTTTTTAGAAGCTAATAAAAAGTTAACTTTTTCACTTTATTTTTTTTTTTTTTTTGGGTAACTTTTTGATTTTTTTTGTATTAAACAAGAAAGTGAGTCACCTAGAATCAACACAATAAGGTTATCATAATCCAAGCACGTTATCATAATCAAATGTTCTAACTAACAAACACACTAAAGTTATAACTATGACATATCTATCTAGAGCAAAAGGTACTTACTATGATGGTAAATCGGAAGTAAAACCTCCCCGACTAATCTGTTGCAGCACCAAATCAAGCTTGGCATTGACCTCCATGCTATTAGACTCCAAGTTGTGCACTCTTGCATTCAGTTCCTCATTGATTCTCCGTTGCTCTTCAAGCTCCCTTCTAGTTTCCTCATTTTCTATCTCAAGAGCAGCACGAGTATGTCGACCAGATGCTGTTGTACTAGGTTTAGGACCACGTCCTAACCACTTATGTAGCCAGACTTACGCCCAAACACCTCAATGGAAAGCTGCTCATCAGATAGTGGGCCAGATCCATCTTCTATAGCTTCATTCTCCCGCTCTTTAAGTTTTTTCTACAATTGCTCATGAGATTAAATATAGTCATTTTATATCAACATTGTAACAGAGCAACTGAAGACATTGATTTTCCTATTTACTTATCCTAGAGAGAACATAATAACTGGTAGAGAAAGCACCATAATCTAGTAGTAGGTCTAATAGTCTAACTGAATTTTCTAACTTTAAAGTAGCATTTCCCAAAAGCTGAATTTTCTAACTTTAAAGTATTAACAAGTCTAATATTCTCTTCAAACATGCGTTTTTAGATGCCATGCCATCATTGTTTCTAGGTACCAGACAACCTACAGAAGCATATCAATCATAAGTTTTATTATTCATGCTTAGCAAACATTAGTAGTGTCTGATTTAACCATAAGAAATGCTTAGGAATTAATAGTGTCTGATTTAACCATAAGAAATGTTGGCCAATGAGGTTGAGAAATCATTTTTTGTTGTGTTTGATCTCAAGGATCTTAACAAACATTTAAGAACTCTGTTGCAATCTTCTTTTTGCTGAAGCCAGTTTTGTAATAGAAGAGCTCAAAGTTTATTTCAGCCCATTGTAGAATTGCCCCAGAGCTTAGCTTTTGTTTTGAATGGAAATGGCTTTCTTCCAAGAAGTTGTTTAAGTTAGGTCATTGCAACTACGGTGGTAAGAAAATCTGAGATGTTCATCAAAGTCTGACCTAAATTTTTGTTTCCACTCTATTTTTCATAATGTTCAGGTTGTTTGGTTTAAAAAAATAAAAATAAATAAATGAATAGATCGATATGTACCAAATGGACAAAAATATTATATTTAATTACTTTTTGTTATCAATTTTTTTCAGTGTTAAAAGATAAATGACTAATACTATATATTTTACAATAACGTATATCATATTACTATGAAAATGAACTACCTTCACACTAAAGATCAAATACAAAATTTAAGTAATACAAAAGAACTTCAAAAGTGAGAAAAATCTCAAATAAAGCAATATAAAATAAAATCTGAACACAAGTGCGAGTAATTGAAACAGTCACTAGTGAGGTTTCAAATCTTGTCAACTCCCTTTCTCATCCCAAAAGATTAGAAAATATATAGTCTGTACAAAAAAAAAACGAAAGAAAAAGAAAAAAAACAAAAACAAAAACAAAGTATGGTTAAACTAACATATGGGAAGGGATTATGTTATTCTTCAATGCAGTTGTTTTGGACAAGAACAAGGAACAGATTATGACTGCAAATATTCACTGGATCAAGCATGACATAGTTTATGGTCTCAGGACCAAGTTGGACCAAGATGGATTATTAGGTCAGTGCCTATACAGTTAAAGCTCCTACCAAACCTTAGCCTTGTAGCAACAATGCTGCAAATATTCAAATCATACGATTTTGTCTCATAAACTTTCACTCCAATATTTCCAAACTTAAGAACAGGTGATCTAGTCCTAATCATTTACATTCATAATCATTTAAATTGTTCATTTTTAGTGCTAAAGATTCACAACACATGAGCCTTAGACAAGTAATCATTAATAGGAAAATACTTATATTTAACATTAGAAAATTCTTACATGTCTAATTTCAGCTTCATTATGGACCCATGCTTGCCTTTTCTGACTAAAGTGTGTCTTGTGATACAAATCTACAAGTCCAAGCTCTTTTCCATCCTTGTCTCGCTGTCAAAACCTTTATAGTTAGTATCCTATGGAGTACATACATCAACAAATAAAAGAAATAAAAAAAGTGCCATGTAGACCCTATGATTTAAAGGTTAGTTGTTTACCTCATCGTATTGCACCTTTCTAAATGCCTTTGAGCCAGCTGTATGGAGGACTTTAAGCTCAAACCTATTTTCCTTGTTTTTCTGACATTTCTCCTGCATGAAGTGTAAAAATATATTCAAAAGAAATCAAGTCCATGTGCCCAAATGCTTAGTAATAGCAGCAGCTACATGCATTGCAGCAGCCTCCGCCACAGTAGCATCTGTATCATCATCAGCAGCCCAAGTACAAACAGCCTACACAAGAGCTGCAGCCTCACCACAAGTGTGTACAAGTGCATTACAAGTGTGTTCAACAATTACATGGTACGTCTTATCATCCCATAATTGACACAGGTATCGCCACACCTCTTTTTCGATATCTTCATGTGGGTTTGCAAGGGCTGATTCCATCGTAGGGAAACTTCTAAAATGTTGGCGTAGATTAAAGCGGTAGGTCTTGTACCGGAGTTTCATCATTCCAAGGATAGAAGCAATAGCATAAGGTTCATTACTAAAAATGAAACCTTCCTGCCATACCAATAAAATTAAACACTTCAAAACATTAAGCAACATAATTCATAAACTAAAAGGGAATATTAAACTAGACTAAAAAAAAACTATCTTACTCGAAGGTATGCAATTAGTGTTTCTTTATCCTCAGGGCTAATAAAAATCCACTTAGGCATATTTTAGAAACCATGTATGGAACTCTGATTCTAGCCTCTCTTGCATATTTGTCAAACCTTGTCCTTCAAGTTCATCCATGTATTGCCTATAAATTATAACAACATTATTCGACACAAATGGTTGTGAAAATAATATAATTCAAAAAGTAAAATATTCTAGTGAATATAATTATATGGTAGTTTACTTACAGCATATATGGCCGAACTTCATCACAATTATTCAGCACGTACCATCGAACTTTTTTCAAATCCGCTAAATTCAACACATCATTAATTGTAGCTCCTAATCCACGAACTTTTTGCCTAAATACAAACAATTTTCCATCTTGTGCTGCCTCAATAGGTCCATCATAGTTTCGTTCAGGTCTATTAAATCTTGTCTCACCTCCATGGAAGTACATAGAGCAAAAAGTGAGAGCCTCATTGTCAATGTAACCTTCAGCAATAGATCCTTCTGGACTAGCTTTGTTGCGCACATAACCCTTAAGAATATGCATGTACCTTTCAAATCCATACATCCACCGGTATTGCACCAGTCCTGCAAGGATTGCTTCACGCGATAAGTGAATGGATAAATGAATCACAATATCAAAAAAAGATGGTGGAAATATCTTCTCGAGCTTGCACAAAATTAAAACAATATCTTTCTCAAGTTGTTCTAAGACATCAACTCTCAATGTCTTTGACGATAACTCCTTAAAGAACAAGCTAAACTCAATTAATGCCTTGCTCACATCCTTTTTCAAACATCCACGTAGAGCAATAGGAAGCAATCTTTGCAAGATAACATGGCAATCATGGCTTTTCAACCCCGTAATTCGACAGTCACTAGTGTTCACACAATGTGATATGTTTGATGCATAGCCATCTGGCAATTTAATTGAACTCAAGAATTCACAAAAGTTCCTCTTTTCAGTTGGAGACAACATGAAGCAAGCATGAGGTAGGAATGTTTGGCCATGTACTTCCCTTGGATGTAATTCAGGCCTTATATCCATATCCATTAGGTCAAGACGAGCCTTGTATGTGTCCTTGGTTTTTCCATCAATGTTCATCAATGTTCGTAGAACACTATCACATACATTTTTTTCAATGTGCATAACATCAAGGTTGTGACGAACTTTGAGGGTTTTCCAATAAGGTAAATCAAAGAAAATGCTCCTCCTTGTCCAATTTAAATATTGAGGAGAACGTTTTCGCTTCTTCCTACGTTGTTCTATTTTCCCAAATAATGATGGGCCTATATGCCCCAATTAACCCAAAACCTCCTCTCCTGACAACAACTTAGGTTGTAACCTAAGCTCTGGCTCACCATTGAATGACTTGCTTGTTCGCAAAAAATGATCATGAGGCAAAAAACGACGATGTCCTATGTAACAAGTTTTTCTATAACGATGCAAGTATTGGTGAGATGCATTCTCATTGCTTGACGGACAAGCCAATTTTCCTTTGGTGCTCCAACCGAATAAATTACCATACGCAGGAAAGTCATTAATAGTCCATAATAATGCTGCACACAATTGAAAATTAGAGCCACTTGATGCATCGTAGGTCTCTACCCCTACCTCCCATAACTCATTTAGCTTATCTATTAGCGGTCGTAAAAACACATAAATGTCAAATCCAGGAGCTCTACGCCCAGGAATAAGCAAAGGCATCATAAAAAATGGATCTTTCATGCATTTCCAGGGTGGCAAATTGTATGGGACAATAAAAACTGGCCATATGCTATATGAGGTACTCATATTCCCAAATGGATTGAAGCCGTCACTTGCTAATCCGAGCCTAACATTTCGAGGATCTTTGGCGAATGACTCATGCTTTTTGTCAAAGTCTTTCCATGCTTCAGAGTCCGCCGGATGGCGCATTACATTTTTCTCCTCTACGCGTATATCTTTGTGCCACCTCATATCAGTAGCTGTCTTCCTTGATATAAATAACCTTTGTAGCCTTGGTTTTAAAGGAAAGTACCGCAAAACCTTGTGAGGGATCTTTTTACCTTTACCTTCACCTTTATGAAATTTGTATCTAGGCTCCTTGCAAGTAGGGCATTTATCTTCATTTTCATATTCCTTCCAAAAAAGTACACAATCGTTCTTGCATACATGTATTTTTTGATAATCAAGGCCCAAATCTCGAAGTATTTGTTTAACTTCATTGTATGAGCATGAGAGTGTTTCACCGATGGGAAGTGCATCCTTCAACAGTTCTAGTATCATCATGAGTGATTTGTTGCTCCATTTATTGAGCACCTTTATATGTAGCAGCTTAACAATGAATGATAATTTGGAATATTGCTGGCAATTCGGATACAATTCTTGTTCTGCATCCCTCATTAATCTTTCAAATGTATTTCCTTCACTACCATGAGCACCAGACAAGTCAGGATTATGACTACTAGATGCTTCCCCAGTATAAGCAAATGTAGATGGTCCACTATGTATGTCATGAATAATTTCTCGCACCTCAGTATTGGGAGAATTTGATTTCTCTGTCACATCATTGAAATATTCGTCATTTTCATTTTCCGAGGGATCATTGTCATTCAACTCAAAGTCTTCCCCATGATACACCCACCTAGTGTAAGTTGTGACAACCCCATATGCAAACAAATGAATTTCAACTTCATCTATGGTTTTTTGGATACGGTTGTTGCATCTATTACACGGACACCAAATCTTACTCGTCCCTGATTTCATATGATCACGAGCAAACATGATAAATTCTTTTACCCCATCAATGTATTGATGTAACCTTTTATTATGAAGTTGCATCCAACTCCTATCCATCCCGAAATTCCTATTACAAAGTACACAAAGACATTATCCTTCAATTCCAATATCTTGTTACTTTCTATATGTGGTCTTAAAGGAGGAACGCAACTAAATTCTTGAAGAAGTTTCACTAATATGTATATCTACTTTTGATTATGTGATTCATATCTATCTTTTGACAAACAAAAATTCAGAGATGTATTGCCAAGGCACACCACATAAAACAAAAGCAAAAGCAAAACATCAGGACACATAATAACATTGATAACAATCATATCCCCACGTTAAAAAATAAATAAATAAATAATCGCAATGTTAAGTTAAATAAGGTCATAAATCAAATAAGGTCAAACCCTATAAAGAGAAGAAAGATTTGGCAATGTTAAGTCCAAGTGTAATGGCTATAGCATACCAAATGGCTTTCTATAGGAGGCTGGTGATTACGGCAGTAAAATCCAACAAGTAAAGAAAGAAAAACAAAACATAAATTGCAAACATGCATACATACACTAGAAACAAGTAGAGAAAGAAAAACATAACATAGATACATAGATAGATAGATCACATTTGACAAACCTTGCTAAAACTGAATTTAGTTCAAAAGATCAAAACTTACAACCATTGCGATTTGGTACAACATGAGAAGAAGAACCAGAATGCATATATTACAACTAGTGATGAATTTGTATCTATCTCACAAAAGATCAGATGAGATCACAAGATGGTGCAAGGATGTGTGCATGGCTCGTAAACTGGCTGGTAAAAAGTAGTATAGAACGGTGGCGGTGGATTAGGGTAGTTATGAATATATGGATTATCTCCTTTCTGCAGGCTTTCTAGTTTGGGATGGTTGTGGATTAGGCTTTCACAGGATGGGAGAGTCATTGTGTGGACTGTGGCGAAGGAAGGGAATTAATGGGATGGTAAGGTTTTGAAGGATTTTCAGACCCCTGAATGCACACAATTGAAACTCTTACCGGTCAGAGTCTCAATTGTCTGCATTTAGGCAAAACAAATTGTGTGAATGAATCATTAATCATTGTTTATATACCAATTCAGCAACTGCGTAATGTAATAAACATATATTCATGTTAAGTAATTGCATAAATAAATAAATTTGAGGATTCCAAAATTTGTTATAAATATAATCAACCGACCAGAATCTCAGATACATTGAGGTAATAACATAATAAACAAAACTCTGTTGACAAGTGATTTAAATAATTTGTTGATCAAAAAATAATAATAAAAAAGTGATTTAAATAATGTACATGTTTATATATATATATATATATATATATATATATTAGCAGAAAACAAATAAATGAAGATCAATGTGTGTGCCTTAATCATATTACACACCTAGAATCTGCAAGGTTCAACTAGAGTGAGTGATATCAAATATGCATTGCAGAGCACATGTATGTAGTCAAGCAGAACATGGGAATAGACCAAAATTCCCAGTTCCACAATTAAAGTTAAACACCTAGAATCTGCAAGGTTCAACTAGAGTCAGTGATATCAAATATGCATTGCAGAGCACATGTATGTAGTCAAGCAGAACATGGGAATAGACCAAAATTCCCAGTTCCACAATTAAAGTTAAACACCTAGAATCTGCAAGGTTCAACTAGAGTGAGTGATATCAAATATGCATTGCAGAGCACATGTATGTAGTCAAGCAGAACATGGGAATAGACCAAAATTCCCAGTTCCACAATTAAAGTTAAACACCTAGAATCTGCAAGGTTCAACTAGAGTGAGTGATATCAAATATGCATTGCAGAGCACATGTATGTAGTCAAGCAGAATGTTTTTTTTTTTTTTCCTCTTTTTTTTTTTTTTGTAATGTTTTATTATCATTAATAATATATATATTGAGGAAAAGAAAGATTATTTAATGATCTTTCCAACTTCTCTGATCTCAAATGTATATGTAGAGATACATATAAAATAAGATACATATTCAATTGAAAGTCTACTTTGAGCAGAATTTGGGATATGATAAATTAATTGTAATATTCAACCCTATATATGTTGCTTGGGCACCTAACTTGGGACTCCCCAAATCCACAATTGCAAGTGCTTCACAGGATGGGAGAGTCATTGTGTGGACTATGGCGAAGGAAGGAGGTCAATGGGATGGTAAGGTTTTGAAGGACTTTCAGACCCCTGTTTGGGATGGTAAGGTTCTGATTTCTTAAATGATCTGCTTGTTTGGCACAATAATCTATTATAATGCAATTCTATTTGAGGCATAGATTTCATTATTGATTTATAACAAAAATGGCAAAAATAATCAGAGAATAGATGATATTCTTGTGTCCTTTTTCTCTTACGCATCCCCAATTCTTCATCTCCAACACGCATTAGATTAGACATACATATACACACACACACAAGTTCAATCTATGTAAACAATTGTTCAATTCCAACAAGCATTAAGATAAGAAACAAGTTTAGTCTCTGTAAAACACATATTGAAACACAATAATAAATTGCAAATACAATCAACAGGTCGATTACGGAGATCGGAGGCGATAAACAGAGATTGAAACACGATAAGAAATTGAAAATACAATAAACAGTTCAATCTATGTAAAACACAGATCGATTACGATAAGAAATTGAAAGTTTGAATTGGAGCTCTTACAGGTTGATTACGAAGATCGATTACGGAAAGAGAGAGAGAGAGAGAGAGAGAGAGAGAGAGAGAGAGAGACGCACCAAAATTTGAAGAAGATTGAGCTCCAAATCTGCCTTGGAGCTCTCGACTTTAGGGCTGAAGATTGAGCAAACCGAGGTGCGAGAGATTGAAGATTGAGCTCAATCTTCAATTGTTAATTGAAAAACTATTAATCTTCAAATGTGGAGCTCAATCTGCCTTGGAGCTCTTACAGGTATGAAGATCGATTATGGAGGGAGAGAGAGAGAGAGAGAGAGAATGAGCAAGTTAGGGCTGAAGTGAAGAATGAGGTCCCGACTTTTCAATTGTTAAAATGATGAAAATAATTGGTCTCAAATTGTTTTTAATTAATAATGGCGCAAATATTTGGTCCCTAAATGTTAATAATATATTAGCAACCAAATTTATTAGTCTAGAAAAATTATGTAAATATATTAGCAACCAAATTTATTAGTCTAAAAAAATTATGTAAATATTAAGTGAGAATATTATTAATCATTTTTACAATCTTGTAAGTAAATTATTATATGTTTAAATTTGTCCCTAAAAGATTATTTTTAGCGACTAAATTTAATTAGTCCCTAAATAGTAGTCTCTAAATGACTAATTTCTTGTAGTGTTTCTTTTTTCACTCCCTCCACATAAATCCATGATCTACATTATTGTTTGGAATAAGGGGTACTAACAGTTGATTACCAGAAAAGTAGGATGGGCCCGCATGGTTAATCAAATAATGGCTTAGATCTAACCTCTCTTCTATTTTGTGGACAAACAATAATATCGAGAGATAAAAACAGTCGCCCAAACTAACCCTTTGTAACATCAGGGTGCAAAAAGAAGCAACAATGCTTAAAAAAAGTTTTTAAAAAAATTAAATAACTGAGAACCAATCATGAGACCCACCCAGGACCAAACTCAGGATAGACCGCCCACTCTCCGACAATCCTTCCCCTTCCCCTCCCCTCACCTCTCCCAGTAATCCCTTCTAGTGAGCACCCTCCCTCACCCCACCATCTTGACACCATCATCCTCCCCTCACCCATTTTGTATCATTTTCATTTTTGTATGAAAACAAATATTTTTTTTTTAAAATGCAATATAAGTATTAGTGCATTGGGGAATAGGGGAAGGGTAATAAGGGAATAGGGATGATTTGATAGGGGAATAGGGGAAGGGAGGAAGGGAGCAAGGAAGAAATGAATTAGTGAACTGGCCAGCAGTAGCATTAATTAGCACGGTAGAACACAAAATTTGAATTGATTCAATTAGAACTTCGAAAAAATTGAAGTTTATGTACAATTGTAATTCTGCTATAATTGTGCCTCTGTTAAATGGGTTGAGAATCTAAATGTCTACTAACAGAAAAATTGTACTAGTGCATTTAATTGCCCAATTAGGAGTATCTTCTGCAAATCTCCATTGAAGTCCCAGGATTGTCTCTTATTTGAGATTGTGCTAAATTTTAACTGCACACAAGGGATGGTATTCGACCCGATTGTATTTGTCACAACCCAATTTTAATAAAAAAAAGTTTGGGAAAACATTGATAGGGTACGCTAAATTATAGAGGCATGAGCAGTGAGCCACCATGACAAGTACAACAAACTTCTAGTTGCCCTTGTACTACCATCCAGATCTTTGTTAAGATAAATTCTGAAGTCTATTTGATGACTCAGAATAAGTGAAGGCTAGAGAAATTTGAACTCAAAGGCTAGAAAAATTCTAATCCTTAGGCAATTTTGAGATTTAAAATTGGCTTCTGGAACTATATGTCTAAACTACATTTGTTAGGCATTCTGATAACTCAAACTTAGATTCCTTCTAGTTTTCTGGCAGGAGTTTTAAATTTGGTGTCAAATATTATACAAAGAATATATAGTGCATTAAAGCCATGAATTGTATCAATTGGTTCTAGACTATAGTGCACTAGTAAAATATATTCTGTTTTGATTCCATGTTCTAATAGGGAAACAAATAACATAGTGAATCCACTTTCAGACCCTCTTCCATCAATTGATCAGTTCCCATATGATTATTAACCAACTCAATACTGTAAACAAAAGAAAACCTAAAGAAGCTAACGAGAATTTCTGCTAAAAAAATAGAATTTTTAATCATTGATTTTCTGCTAATTTCTAATAAAAAAATTTCCTAAGGTAATCACTGATTTTTTGCTACATCCTGCCAATTTTATTTTATTTATTTATTTTTTATGTTGAAAATTCATGATATTGTCTTTAACTCAAAGGCTGAGTTTTTTTGGTCTCATGGATTGATATCGGATTCGACCTTCACTTCCACTTGTAACTATTCTCACTATGTAAGCAGA